GGGCAGCCCCCTCCCTATGCAGCCCGGCTTCATGTACCGTCGTTGCGCTCGGGAGGGGTGTCCAGGGGGTCCCCGTCCTTGGACCAGGTCAGGGTGGGCAGCGGGTGCCCATTGCGGCTGATGCAGGTGGCAACCTGGGGGCACAGGCCAGTGTCACCCCAAATCCCCTTGCTGCCTCCCCCCCTTCCCCCACCAACCCCTCACCTCTGATGCCGACGACTCTGTCACCGACAGCGCCCAGGGGTTCACATGCACCTCAGGGGGCTCGGGAGTGGCTGGGGTGGGGAGAGAGGTGGGTGAGATGGGGCCAGGTGTTGTATGGGACTGGGCAGCTATATGGACTGTGCAGCTATGTGGGGCTGGGCGGCTGCATGGGCCTGGACTGTGTAGTGCTGCTGTATGGGACCAGGCTGTGATATAGGACCAGGCAGTGCCGCTGTATTGGACCAGGCTGTCCTGTGGGGCTGGTGGGGGGCTATACGGGACTGGGCAGTGTCGCTGTATGGGCTTCGGTTGCTATGGGGGCGCTGCCCATGGGGGTCCTCACCATAGACGCGGACCTGGGCAGTGCCCTCAGCGCTGCCGGCGGTGCCGGCTGTGACCTGGCAGGAGAAGACGCGCTCGTCGGTGAGGCTGGCAGCCTCCAGCTTCAGCCCATGACGGGGGTCCAGCACCAAGCGCCCTGTGTACTCCGTGCCTGTGTCCACTGCGCTGCGGCCGCCTTCGGTGAAGGCCACGCGGCGCCGCTCCCCACTGCGCTCTGTCTGCGGGACACACACTGTCAGTCCCTGCCTGTCACACACACGTGTGCCCAATGTGTGTGTGCACAGTTCCGCCTGGCACATGCATGTGTGGAGATTCCCACGCCCCTGCAGCTCTGCTCACGTGCAGATGTGCATACCCCAGGAGTCATGCACATGCGTTCATCTCACAGGTTGCACATGCATGCGATGAGTTTTGCACACACACGTGCCAGGATCATGCTGGATACCACCTCCCTTCCCCAAATCAAAGAGCCAGCCCCACTTCAAGAATAGACCTGCTCCTCCCTTGCACATGCATGTGCCCGGGCCCCTTTTGCACATATACATATAGCTGGGAGAGGCTTGGCTCCCATCCCACACAGGCCTCTCTGGTCAGGAGCTCCTGGTGCACCTTGCACACGTGTGTGCATGGGGGGACCCTGGTGCCCAGCTCCTCCTGCATGTGTGTGCCTCAGCCCCGCTCCCCCAGTACATGCGTGTGTGCCTGGGGATACTTACGATGAACCACTCAACCAGGGGGGGCCCCGCGCGCCCCGAGACGTTGTAGCTGCAGGGGATGGTGACTTGGGCGCCAAGCTCTGCCTCCACCAGCGCTGGCACCTGCACCTGCACTTGCGCCGCCGCCCGGGTGCCTGCAGGGGTGGGGAGGGGGTGTCAGTGCAAGTCGAGGCTGGAAGAGGGGGTGGGAGGGAACGCACCTGTGTGGGATCTGGCTCCATGGCTTTGTTCCAGGATAAATGAGTGGGGGCAGGGACAGATGGGCAGGTGGGGGGGGGGCGCTGCACATGGAGAATGGACCCCCCCCACATGCTCACAGCAGTCATGCTCCTGCATGCACACACATGCATGGGCTGCTGCATACGTGCACAGACACTCACAGGCTCTTGCACATATGCATATGCACATGGGCTCCTGCATGCATAGCGTATAGGCACATGCATGAACTTCTGCATGTGTGCACACAGATGCTCACAGGCTCATGCACACATGAGCATGCATGCAGACTTGTGCATGCATGCACAGGCATTCACAGGCTTGCACACACACAGCTGCTCACAGGCTCCTGCACACACACACATAGACTTGTGTACGCATACACATGGACACTCACAGGCTCCTGGTGCACATGTGCAGGCTTGTACATACGTACACACACATACATGCACTCAGGACACAGTGAAGGGGCAGGTCTCCAGGGCTGGGTCCCTTGCACGTGTGCATACACACACATACACACACGCCAAACATGGTCTGTGCCCAAAAGCACAGGCCTGCTGGCTCCTCTGCGGGTGCGGCGTGTGCTGGAGACATGCTTGGGCTCGCACACACACGCCTGCAGCACGCCTCAGCCCTCCTGTCTTGTGGGGCTGGCACATGCGTGTGCCCCAATACCCAGTGGCGTGCGCATGCACATGTGTCCCAGTGGGGGAGGGGGGGCCTCAGGTCCTTTGTTTCTCTGCTGGGCCCTGTCCCTCCCCCACCTGTGTCCGGGGGTACGCCTGCGTGCATGCGTGTGACAGATCAGTCTCATTAGTGCAGCCCCGCGGGGCACCGGGATAGAGCATCTGGTGCAGGAGACCAGCCCCCGCCCCCCCGGTGCCAGACGCCAGCCGCAGAACCCAGGCGTCCGGGCTCCCAGCCCAGCCCCTCCGCCGCAAACAGTGACAGGTGCCTACAGGCTCGGGGGAGGGGCAGGGCTGGGGCATACACGTGTGTGTGCATGTGTAAAGGGCCCGGGGTGCATGTCGCACATACGTGTGGCATGTATGCAGGGGGCTGGGAAGGCTTGCATGTGTGTGTGGATGTGTGAGGGGCCTGGAGTGTGCACACATGTGCATGCATGTGCAAAGGGACCTGGGCCGGTGCACATGTATGTGCAAGGGGCCTGGTGGGCACGTGCAAGATGTGTTGCATGCGCAGCCCCTGAGAGTGCAGCAGCTTGAGGGCACACTATTAATAGCAGCCCTGAAATAGCCAGTGGCAGAGGACTGTCCTCCCATGTGTTGCGCGTCCGGCCAGGGCTGCGGCCCCTCACGGGGCTCGTTAATGCCCGGACGTCTGTGCTCTGTCCAGCTGGAGGGCCCGGACGCCTGGGGGCTCCAGCTGTGAGCGGGGGGCTGGATGCCTGGGCTCCCCGTCCGGCTGGAGGGGGAGGCTGAGCGGTGTGCGGGGGCGCCTGGGTTCTGTCCAGCGCGGAGTGGGGCCTGGGGGGTCAGAGCAGGGAGCCGGAAGCCTGGGTTCCCTCCCTGACCTTGGGGCCTGGAGGGGTCTATGGTGGGTGGGGGCCTGGATGCCTGGGGTCTCTCCCAGGTTCTGGCCCCAGAGCGGGGTCTATGGGGTGGGGGTAGGCCCGGGTTCGCTCCCTGTGCTGAGGTGCAGAGTCGGGCCTGGCAAGGCCACACTGGGCACCTGGGTTGCAACCCTGGAGCAGGGTCTCCTGGGAGCCGGGCG